CCCCCCCGCTCAAAACTTTTTTGTCTTGATTTTCCGCCCCGCCTTTCGCAGCTCTCTTCGACGTATCCGTCCCTGACCCAGCTGGAGGCGGAGGCGGAGGCGATTGCCGGGATTCTTGACCGCGCTGCGACCGCCGCCGCCGACAACAACGGAAAAACGCCTCCGAAGGACGGCGAGATTGCGGTCACGATTCAAGACTCCACGTCGGCCTCCGATCAGACTGACCGGCCAGGCGTTGCCGCGACAGCGGAGGTGGGAGCCGTCCGGGTGCCGGGAGCGTTCAGCGCGGAGCCCGAGCTCCGTCGAAGGGCCGTCGCGGCCGCGAGAAAGCTCACTCCGGAGGAAGAGCGCCGCATCAGGTCCGGCGAGGTCCAGCGCGCGGTGGCGTCCAGAGACGTCGCCGGAGGCGTCGGCGGCGGGCAGGCAACAATAACCGGACCCGCTGTTGCCGAACCATCACCGGCCACCGGCAGCGGCGGCGTTGCCGGGACAGGTGCGGCGGCGGCCCCGTCGCTCGACCCCGTCGCCGCTGCTGTCGAGCGGTCCGGGCCAGCGGCGTGCTGTCCGGAACTTGGGGCTCAAGCAAACGCGTGTGAGCCGGCGGCGAGGAAGATGGGTTCGTCTTTGGAGTTGGCCGGTGGGTGCGACAGCCACGCCCCTCCGCCGCCTCGCCGGCCGGTGAAGGTCGCGCCGGCGGTGCTCGCGCTCCTCACCAAGCAGCACAGCGCCCGCGCGACTGCTGCCGCAGGAGCGAGGGAGTCCTTGGAGGCCAGACCGAAGGGAAAAGGGTCAGCGGCACCAGCACCGTTTGCTGCGGCGGCGTCGGCGGCGGGGTCGGAGTGTCCGTCTGCTGAAATCCCTTCGGCGGGGGCGAGGGCGGCAGTGCCGGTCGCTCCATCTGCAAAGCCGATGTCGAAGACCCTGGCAGCCCTGCTCGCGCGAAGGGCTGATAGACCAACGCCGTCAGGCCCTGCCGCGGGCGGCGGCTTCGACGGCGACGAAAATGAGGCGCGCAAGAAGGCGACCTGTCCGCCGCTTGGGTTCTTGGGCGAGCTGAAGGCAAGGGCGGCAGCGGCGGCGGCCGCGGAGGGCGCGGGAGCGGGCCCTGAGCGGGAGGGGAAGGCGGCCTTGCCTACGGGAGGCTCTTTCTTGGACGAGCTGAAGGCCAAGACGGCAAGGATTTCCTGAGTCCCCCGAGCGCACATGGGGGTCAAGCGCCCGCGGGGTCTCCAGTTCCTTGAGACATACTTATTTCGAGGTTCTTCCGTCCGGGCTATTTTTTCATTATGTACATGTATTCTTTTACGGTCACGGGGGTCGCCTGTACTCCTTCGAGCAAGCAGTGTCAGCTTCGGTGGTTTTCATATTTGCTGTCCTTGTGCCCCGAGCTCATAGAAAAGGTGTTTTCAGGATTACAGCCGGAAATCACCGGGCCAGGAGCCAAGCGGCGCAGGGGTGGGGGCGGGGGAGGGGCGTTCCCTCCCTCTAGATAGATGCCCAGATAAATCATGGTTTGGCGTCACAGCAGTAAGTGACCGCGTCGGTGTGGCCTACGTTTGTCTACCAGGCTGGTTGTAAGTATTTTGTTACCGATACACGTCGGTGGAAAGTGATGTAGGAGTCGTATTCTCCAGCAGGCTTCGATGCAAGGATGCAAGGAGACCAACTGTTTGGTTCGTTCATGGGAAAGGGAAAGGGGGACCCGTTCGTGTTGACCTGGGGTTGAACGAAACGTTTGATTTTTTCGTTGTCTGGCTGCGAAACAAGGATATGTCGGGCGCCGGTGTTGCGAGCCTTGCTATCCACGTCAAGACCACTCACCAGCCGGTACTGAGGTTGACAGTCGTGGGAGACGGGGTATTTACAAAACATTTAAGCCAGAAGTGCTTAGTTAGAGTGCTGTGGCAAGGCGCCACCAAACAACACGTGACGTACACACTGTATCTATTGAGAAGGTTGTCTACACGTCATCACGCAAGGAAAGGCCAAAACGCCATGGAGCATAGCATATAAGCAGACTACCGTAGAAACGCTAACTGGATCGAGAGCTGAAACAGCCGTCATGCCGCCCGCCTCGTAGCCCATCTCTTCTTTGGGAAACAACGCTAGCAACAACCTCCTCCTCCTCCTCCTCCTCCTCCTGCTGTTGCTCGAATGCGGCTTGGTCACTTCTTCTGCCACGGCCCAGTCTGGGGTGCCTCTCGGCCCGGAGGACCCTCGCCGTCCCCCGAGATGGACGAAACCACAGCCGCAGCTTCCGCCGACACTCCCTCCACCTGCTTCTCCTGTTCCCCACCTCTGCTGCTACCTGCGTCTCGTGTGCAAGCCTCGCCCGCAACAATCGACCGAACGGCGGCCTCCCCCAATACCCCGAACGCCAACAATGCCGCCTTCTCGCCGCCATCGTGGTTACCGTCGCCGCCGCCGCCGCCGCTCAACAACGTCTCGAGGACGGGCTGGACGTGCTCCGGTCTCAGGCCCGTGCGGTAGAGCGGGGCCACGTTCTTGTCGAGCAGTCGCTCGTCTAGCCACTCGACGATGTCCTCCGGAGACGGCGCGGCGCCGGGATTCGTCCCCGCTCTTCTTCTTCCGGTGCCGCCGCCGTCTTGTTCCCCCGCTCCCAGCACGAAGCCGGCGACGCGCTGGTACTTGAGCAGCACGGCGCAAGCCCGGTCGTTGTAGTCGTCAGAGTAGACCTTTTCGTGGCCACCGCCGCCGCCGCCGCCGCCGCTACCGCTGCGGCTGCCATCGTTGGCAGACGGACGAGAACCGCTGTCGCCGCCAGCTTCAATACCCCCGCCCATCCGGTCAGGGTTGTCGGTACCGTCCGCGGTGTGGCGGCGGGCGCGGTTGCGGCGGTGGTAGGCGGGGTCCATGTAGGCGTCTTCCTGGCGTCGTAGCTCGGCAATCTGCGAGGAGAAACGGTGTGCATGGAGGGGGAATCGAGGCGTAAGAACACGCCAAGGGAAAATCGACTACATGGCTTGGGTGGCACGACATGGCGACTTTTTTCTCTCGCAGATCCAGGCATTCATATCGCCGCACAATGATAGCAGCGTAGCCATGCCAAAATTGCACGAGCTAGTACGGGAATGGTCGGCGGGGGGGGCGGCGGCACTGCATTGGCGCAACGAAATGAAAACAGAGGGTCAGAGAAGGGAAATAGATGCAGTGTTGTAAGGCATGTATTCACGCCTTAACTGTGCTTCTAGTGCAGCAGAGAATCGGGGTCGTATGTTTGTCCCCTTACTCCCCCTTAATAGTAGCGCGTTAACCCCGACTGCCTATTCTCCCCTCTGCGGGGGTCCCTTCCCAAACCCTCTCCACCCAAAATAGACTCTTGTGCCCAAATATGTGTAGACGGCCAACGAACCGAGGGCCGTGCATGCGTGCTAGCGTTCGGCACTAACACCACAAGCGCACGCATTCTACGGAGGATGCCGTACTAAAGAAAAACGCGCATCATATGTCCCGCGGGCGGTTGCACCATTCTACTACATGCTATCCGATGCTCGCTGTCGGTGTGCGTGTTCCTTCTGTCAACCACTTGCCTGGGCTTCCAGCACTCGAGGGAAGAGGCGAGCAAGGCAGTGGGCGTAGGGGGCGTTGCTGGTTACCGCCACGGCCGACGCCAGCTGGTGCAGGAAACCCCATTCCGTGCGAGACGCGACCAGGCCGCGGACAACGCCTACACGTTGCCCACAAGCAGCCGCCGTGTTGGAAGGCGAATATTTTTAGTTCGTGTTGTGTACCCGGCAGGTTCGACTTCCACGGTCGACCAGAGGGAAAAAGAACGACCGAACCCCGTTCCTTGCGGCCAAACTTAAGGCAAGCGCCGCAGAGGAAGGGCGGAAGAAAGAAAACGAACAAACACTCGTCCTGCGTGGCCTCCTTCCTGTGCGACCCCGGCGGGTGCGTCCGAAGACGTATTCCGAAAGTTGTGCTAAAACATTCAACATCCAGAATCGACAGGATGACAACGCAACAAGCGCACTCCAACAGGAATGGCTACAATACCCACAGCAATAAGAAGGAAGCCCAGACAGCAATATATAAAAAAGGTGCCATCGCAAGGACATCTATATCGCATCACCTGCAAACGCGATGTCCTCCCGCTCTTGGTACAGCGGTCCGCGGAAACCCAGATCCCTCGACAGGCATCTCGACACCCGCTCGATGCCCTGGTGGCTGCTCGCACAACATGCACGCACAACATGCATGCATGGTGTGTGGTTGGTTGTGTGTGTATGTACGCCGCGGGTCTCATGGGTCATTCACGAATCGATCGAGTGGTACTACACCGTCACCCCTGTAGTACGTCAGAAATAGTCGAGCGTTGGCGGTGAACATGAGGCAGGACCATGAACAAGGTCTTTCCGTGTCTGGAACGAATGATTCGCGTTCAGTGGCCTAACAACAAACCGGTGAGGCACCAAACCTGTCTCCCCACCTCATGAGATCAGGCACGAAACCCCTCCCCGCCACGTAGCTCTCCAGGCAACCCGCAAGGGCAACGAAGGCTCCGGGCCACGTGATCTCGAGAGGGACTCTCATCATCAGGCGGGGCTCGACGATCGCCATGAAGGGCGCGGGCATCGCCGCCGCGCTGTCGTGGAAACCCACGGTGACCTGGTTTGAGAAGGGCAACAACAAAAATGAAATGACGTGTGCGCGAGCAACGGAAGCAGATGGTCGGCGGGCGCAGAGAGTCGCGAAAATGCGGAAACGAGTTGATCTAACAAGAAAAAAGTGGGAACGAAAAAAAAAAAGGATGAAATGTGAAGCCGCGACAGTGTGCCACGGGAACAAAATTCACCCGAGTGAAGGGCATTGCTCTTTCAGAGGGTGAAGGAAGGTCGGTGCCATTGTTCAGAAAATTATCGACGGATGCAATGATAGTGGACAGTACGGGAGGTTTGTGAATCGTGACAGCCAATGCAGTTGGGAGCGGGGCGCTACCGGCACGAACCAAACAACCAACTCCAGAGATCGAGAAAATGTGCTGGGGTTGCTGTGCGGAAACAAACCTGCAATTGCAATTGTATGTAGTCTACATGAAGACTCTTTTGTCACACTCACGAACACGAGCAAATTCCAAGCAAGAACAGCCCATGCCCAACCGGCGGATGTCACAGACAGTTATGGCACCCATGGACAAGGGCCTACACGCTTCTAAGCCCGCTCTATATCGAGACTGATGCTGCGGCAATTCGCTAAACACCGGAATGCTCCACCCCCGCCGCCCCCCACCGCCGCTGCCGTATCACAACACACAAAATCCCCGACAATCCTTCCTACCTTCACAGGCTCCAAGGGGTCGCGATCATCCAGGATGGTCGCGACGGGAGTGACCTCGGATCCTATCCCGGCTACGAGCGGGATCGCCACAAGGGGCACGGGCCCCAGCAAAGGCGCTAATCCCGCCGCTTCCGCCTCAGCCCCGACCCCGGCCTCTCCTCCATGCTCTGGTGCGGTTGTTTCCCTGCCAGAAAAACCAAAACCAGTACACGCAAGCCGCGAAAGGTGTGTAGGCTTTGTGACCATGTCCATGTGTGTCAATGTGATTGGTTGCGAGATTCGGTCCTGCTGCTGTGCATGACACTGCCCCCCAACTGCCCCGAAGAAGTAGAGGGTGGGAGAGCAGCTAGTAGAGCGCGACTACCCCGAAGGTTCTGAACAACGCCGGTTTTGACATATCTTATCCATTCCCCGCCAGTGTTCTATCCGTGATAGGAAAGTGTCCCAACAGACCAATTACTGCCAGCTGAGCCATCAAACAAAGGAGCGGTGACACTGATCCCAATGAACCAACACAGCGAGCTTGTAGCTACAAACCCATACACCAGTATTGCAATACGGTCGACGGTGGTAGCCCACAGACATCGCGGTTTCCCTCCAACCCATCCCACCACCAGCACCACAACAACGCGGCCCTCCCCACAGTGCAACAACGTACATGTAGCACCACCGAGCAAACAGTAATTACATGTACTTCATAGATAGCGCAAGAGCACGTACCTCGGCTCGCTGGCAGCCGCCAAGAGTCGCCCGGCGGCCTTCGCGCTGTCCTTGTCTGCGTAGGCGATGGCCGCGATAGCCTTGCCGGCGTCGATCACCGCCGCGCCGCCCATCGCCACGACGCAGTCCGCGCGATGTTCGAGCGCCAGCTTCGCCCCTGCGAGGGAGGGACCGCGGGAGATAGATAGAGAGNAGAGAGAGAGAGAGAGAGAGAGAGAGAGAGCGAGAGAGAGCGAGAGAGAGCGAGATAGGAACATTGCAAGGGAAGGAACAGAGCAAGGCCGACCGGCCCCACCTATTGTTGAACTGTGCATTGTAGAGCGATGCACCACCTCTCTCACAAGTTATGCCACAATCACACGCCTCCGCCCGCTCTAAAACAGCACCACCACCAGCCGTCCAACGCAGTCCGCAACCCAACTCCAACTCCTCTTGGTCGAGAACACCCAACCAAAGCTCCCTGCCCCTGCTTTAGAAGCTAGCGCCTCACCCTCAGCGACGTCGGACAGAGAAGGCTCAGAGGAAACAGAGTGCCACTTGAGATCGAACCCTCTTGGCAAGAGCTCCCAAACCACGGGGTCGGCACGGGCCTGGTTCCATCCCGTCACGATAATCGCACTGGACGTTGGCGGGCGAGAGGAGACGTGGGGCGATGCGTGAAGGGTCAACAAACAACGATACACTGCAGTATGTAGAGCGCGTGAGTGGGAGAGAGAGATGGAGATATAGATGGAGGTATAGAGATGGATAGCTAGAGAGAGGGAAAGAGGGAGAAAGAGAGAGAGAGAGAGAGAGAGAGAGAGAGAGAGAGAG